GGTGAGGAACAGCGCCATGGATTTAATAAACAATGGATGGCAGCTGGTTTTTGAGTGAATTTGCATTGGTTTAGTCTAAAAGTGTAACATGCCACTCACACAGCAACAAATAAGTTACAGCACGAAGTTGAATGCGGGGCAAATGAGACTGAAAATGTCTTTATAGTTCTAGCGATCGATTACATCCAGTGTCAGAGAGGATAATGATAAATTATAAGAGAAAAGAGCATAGTTCTTCCTCAGTTTCACTTGAACTACACTAATGGAAAGGGTGTTTGGTGGCACAGGTGGATCACTTGGGCCATAAGGGCATCTCGCTTCATTGCCCACACAGACATTTAGCTAATCATCCTCTGTAATGGGCCAGTGAGATCACCATTTCCTCATTCCTTTCGAGCAAAAACATAATGAAGATGAGTTTGCAGCATTTTTATAATGATACATTCGCTGTTGTAGGTCAGATATTGCTGGTTACTGTCCTCTAGTGGCTCTACCTGCTGTTTGTGGTGTAGAATTGATAATATAGAGGAAAACTGCTGAATTGAGGGTGTACACTGCAAAAAATGGTATCTTGTCAAGTAAACTGATCTTAAATCAAGTCAATAAATCTAATATTTCTCCGGTTGATATTGTTGTAAGCTTAGTTTAAGATTATTTTTACTTATTTCTGAACATGTTAGTAAATTTATCTCACTGTATTGGCAGTATTGCTTGTTTAAAGAAATGTGCTTGAAACCAGCAAAATTACCTGTCAGTATAGTGAGATAATTTTTCTTGATAAACTTACCTAAAACATGTAAACAATGTCTAGAAATAAGCTAGATAATCTTATAGTAAGTGCAAAAGCATCTCAAAATATGAAATATTAGGTAGATCAACTAGAATAAAGATAATTTCACTTGACAAGATACTGTTTTTTGCAGTGTAGTAAAGTCCGATTAGAAAACATCTTCCTTTTTTCGTGGGTGTTATGCATTCTTTAAAAAAAAAAATATTTGAAGTGACTCCTTTTTGGTGGTTTCTTAAACTGAAAATGTGGTTCTTCTATGCCTCACTCCACGGAACCCTTTCTGGCACCTTTATTTTTAAGAGTGTAACTGGAGGAACTATCACTGGGTAAATCCATCAGAAATCCCCACTGATTAGACCACATGTTGCTCAGACTAGTTAATTGGCCATTTGGGAACAAAGTCAAACTGAAGATACACTGCCAATGCTCGCCTTCTGCGCTCTAATCTCAGAGGCTACTGAGAACAACCAACTTCAGCCCAAAGACAAAACACAGAGATTTTGACTAGACCATGCTTGATGGAGCACCAGTATGATAGGTCTAGCACATTACGCCCTCTTTGTTATGCTATAGTTTTTATGCCTTACTCATTATGGATATGACATAGACTGTGTTGATAATGCTGCTCATAGATCAGGCTGAAGGAGTGGAGAAAAGGCAGATGCCCAGGGATACTTTCCCATGACTAGGTGGCGTCTGTACTGGGCCTCAGCCCTAGTGAGTGCATTCAGAATTATCAGGGCCATCAGTGTGCGACTGAGGTTTATCTACTAGATAGAGATTTTTCAGTCGCCCCTCAACAGCTGTGTTTGGGGGAATGGCACAATGAATCGCTCTCAAAGTGGGCAGACCCTGGTACGTTTGATAACAAGGGCATTTATCTGAATGCATATATACGTATACACATGCAGATTCACAGCGCTCTTGTGTCTGAGATAGTGAATCATCATGTTGTTTGTGGAGACAATAGGTCAGTAGGCGGTGCGTGTGTTTGTGCTAGAGCTCAGATTGTGGTTATGGATGACTGCTTGTCAGAGACACACTGGGGGTTCCACGTCCATTCTAGCTGGAAGTTTTCTCAGCACTGTAAGACTGGTATCTAATGTATTGTAAAAACTAATTTACATTAGCAGGCAGAAATGACAGTTTTGGTTCCAACATTTTTCAGATTTTTGGATACATTGGATCTATAACTTCTAGTTATATATATATATATATATATATATATATATATATATATATATATATATATATATATATATATATATAGTCTTCTCTTAAACTGTGATCATAAATGTCAAAAATCAACAGAAATATTTTAATTTCAGTGTGTTTAGTCAACTCACATCCACTTACATCTAACTGCATTTTCCAAAAGTTACTTTAATGAATGAGCAAGCTCCACTCACTCTCAGCATATCCATGTCCCATCATGTATCACTAAAGAGCTTTTGTTTTCCATATGCTCTCGTTTCTCAGTACTGATGACAACATTTACACAAATGGTGCATGTTTTCTGAGATCTCAGTGGATAACACAGTCCTAGGGCCCAGTCTTAAAATCCTTTTTTTTCCTCAATATACATTTTCTTTACACTCGGAACCAAAAATCTCAGCTTCTAGAAAGTCTACACTCATGAATTTTTTATGTTCCTAAACATGAACAAAATAACTGAAGGAATTGCTCTTATATTACAGTGCATAAAGTAACAAAATGATGAGTTTTCAATAATCTGTTCTCTAAAATATTTTTTAGGGCCTGTCTTCACAATTACATAAACATTATAATCATCTTTCAAGGGCTAGATGGATTAAACGTACTCATATGTATGCATATTTAAGCAATGCCTCCTTTGCATATCTATATTAACGTAATTTTGTTCAACTTCCCATACAAAAAATTACTAGTAATATTACATAATCTGGCAAAGATTCAATGTGATATCTGTTATTTAAAAAATACCTTGTTGTCATAATGCCTGATGCAAAGTTATAAATACATTATCTAGTTTGCAAAATCAAAGACTGTACATTAGAAACACTAAAATTAAATATATGAGATTACTCTTGTCATCATATGAATTTATCTGTGTATGTTTTATACAGGTAAGTATGTTTTATGTTGTATATGATTTGGGAATTTCTTAATACAGGACACAGAGATTGTAGAATTTAATATGTTGTGTCATGCAGTTATCTGTTGTGCATTATTTTATCTCTCAACTTCATCAGTGTGACAGAATTTACAGTTTTGTGTTGTTTTCAGGTTTTCGTACATCAGTATTCTCTCACTACAATACCCAGCATGCATTACACAAATACATCATACAATCCCTGTGGTGTCAACCAATGCTGCTTGTCCAGCCACTGATCTATAGGCTTTTAAAAGTTCCTTCTTACCTTCAACATACATCATCAAAAGGGGATTTCCCTAGTCTTTTAACGAAAATCTCCCTCCAGAGACTGCTGCAGTACCATGGTAGGACACAAGCATATTTACAACAGTTGTAGTGATGGTTAAATTTTTATTTTGGCCAGAATGTCCCCTTAATCAGTGAGTGATCTAATGAGTTAAAGTAGGTCTTTTCCACAAACCAGTTTTTTTATGAAATTAACTCATTTGATTCACTCTGAGGCAGAGGCTGAGACACTGGAGAAATGTTTCATTGAGGAAGTAAAAAGTTGTTGTGATTCTGACATGGCTGGACATTGTGGTTGAGTCCTTACAGAGTGATCTGACATGACATCTTGAAGCGCCCACACAGAAACTGCCCGAAGGCTTCTGGAAGGCCACGGCCTCAGCACCAGCAGAAGACAAGCTTCTATTCTTATCAACTTCACAGACATCTGCCTGTCAAGGGCTATTTGAGAGTATCTACCTGTTTGGGACATTAACCCGTTCTGTAAACTAATGGACAACTCAAGCTTAGGAGATGCCTTTCTATTAGTTTGGATTCTCCAGTAAAAGCAATGGCCTTTTTGTTTTGTTTTTCTATCTAAAGTAGAGAATACACCATCCAGTCTGCTCTGATATTCCTGGGGTTTTAAAGTAACTTCTGTGGAGATGCAGGAACTGGAATAGACAAGGATAAGAATTGGACGAAGGAAAAACAGAATAAATAGAGATGTAGAGAAACAACATTTAGCCCTCCAGCAACTTTCTTTGCTCTAAAATACAACTCAGAAATGCCTCAAAGGAGCTTTCAAGACCAGTAGACATTTTTCTGATTGTGTTTGGGCGTCTAGCTCTTAGGCTGGGTTAGAGTTTGGACTCGTGGCTTTGGAAATTCCAAAAGCATTAATACCAGCTGAATTATTCGACAGCTGGGTTTTCTGTGAATTATTTTCTGCCCTCGGCTGCACCAATTTGATACTGACTGGCACCAATTTGAGATTCATGCTCTTTGGTTTTTACTTTGAATAAAAGTGAATTTTTAGTCAGCTAAAGCTAGACTGAGCTCTGGGTCCTGGAGGAAGCTAAGGCCTTTTCTTTGCATGCAAATTCTGTTTAAAGCAAGTAAATGCGTGTAAATGTTTGCAGCTGTAGCTCAGCCTCTTTGTAGTTGGTTGTTATTTTAGTGGAGGCTGCCATCTTTAGGGGTAGGTTGCTAATGGATGCTACTGCTAGTCTGATGTAATTTTTAGTAAATTCACTGTTCTTTTGCACAGTCATATAATACTGTACAATACTGTAAAATACAGTGTTTTAACACTTATTGAGGTCTAGACCTTTAACACTTAAAAAAGATGGTTCTTGAAGGGTTCTTTAGTAACGAAAATGACTCTGTATGGCTTTGCATGATTAAAGAGTTCTTCAGACTCTTGGAGAATGTGTGTTATACGGTTCTATGTAGAACGTTTTTGAAAAAGGTTCTAAATAACACCCAAAAGAGTTTTTCTATTGTTACGATGTCAAGCTCGATACAATAGAAGAACCCTTTTGGTGCTATATAGGAACATCTACAGCTCATTCTCCATCAATCTGAAGAACCATTTCACGATGCCAAGAACCCCTGAATCATGCAAAGGGTTTTTTGAGTGTTCATGGTTCTATATAGAACCATTTTGCTTACTAAAGAACCCTTGAAGAACCATGTTTTAAAGTGTGTATAGGAGCACTTTAGCCTTTGTCTTGTCCTCGCGCGCCCTCTTGTGGAGAAAATGAGACTCACCTTCACGTGTTTACAGTTGCTAGGCAACAAGGAAGCGGAAGCAACGGTTCCTGTTGATGCGCAGCGCAACCTGCGAGCCAGTTAAAACTTTTTGGCTTTAGTAACTAAGACATTTTAGCAAAAATATCACTGACAACATTATCAGGCAGGTTATGGCAGCAGCAGGTAAAGCCAAAGAGAAAGAGCCGGTGGATATAGTTCACCAGAATGCGATTCACGTGGAGACCATCCTGAAGGAGCAGAGGAGTCGGAAGCTGTACACAGAGTTCAGCATTAATCCGTTCAAAAAGCGTGAGTAGAATTTATTGCTGTTTCCTTCACAGCCAAAACAAGTGAAACGAAATTAAATGATGCTGAATGAAACGTTTCAGTCAGACGTTTCACACAGACCCTACATGGTGATTTACTTCCCGTAGTGTGAAGCTGTACTGATCCAGTTCCCGACAGAGGAGCTCCAGAGTAAACCTAGTTTCAGGGCACTGGTCACAGATGGTAGCTACTGGAGTGCGAGAGCAGTTTTGTTACACCTGATAAATACACTAGGTACTGCACTCTTTAGAAAAATGGCTCTTCAAGGCTTCTTCAGTAAAAGGAATCCTTGCTGGAAAAAAGACAGTTAGAACCTGATGGTTTTGCTGTCTAATGGGAATTGGCTTAATGGTTTTCTTTAGAGAGCACTAGTCTCCTGTAGGACACCTTTAGATCCCATAAGGAAACCATCAAATGTATCTGTATTCAGAACACCTGTTACACCATCAGATTCCTTTACACTGTAATATCAACCCATTAGGAAAACACACAATACCATGACTTATTACTGAACACCAGCAGGAACCGAGAGAAACTTTTAATGGTTTCTATGCTTTTTTTTCAGTAGGAGTGGTTTCCATTTCATGCTAAAATGGTTATTTGTATAATGAAATGGTTCTTCAGGTTGATGAATAATGTGTTGAATATTGTTCTGTATAGAACCTTTTTGAAAATGGTGGACAAAATCACTGCAGCAGTAAAACTACAGGTAGGATATTTTGATAGCCTAAATATCCTTATCAGAAAATGCTACCAGCATTTAAATGTGTAGGCAAGATATTTTGATAGCCTAAATCAATTTATCAGAAAATTTTACCAAAACAGGATATTTTAGCCTTAGTCTCCATAGAAAAGGTATTAACATGAAGGTGAGTCTGTACAATAGACCTCAGGTAAGGCTGAAGTAACATTAAATACACAATAAAATGTTCGAAAAACTAAGTTACCACACTATACTCATTAAATGCTCTGCAGGACCACTCAATCGGTAGGACAAATTGTTAGAACACCGGCTAATTGTCTCCTATCTTGAGTTAGTTAATACCTCTAATTTTTCTTTTGATACGATAAACAATAATTAGGCTAATGTTCTGATAGCAGTGCCGACAATGATACTTCTACTACAATGATAAGTTTTCCTGTGCACATAAAATGGGAATTCCTGTGACTCTATCAGTGAAAAACATTAAAAATGTGGATATCAAAAATCATACTTGAAAGCTGTTGCATTAGAGCTAAATATACTGCCACATATATAGACTGTTTAGATCTACTGTTATAGATCATTCACCACGTATCTCGTGGCTGCTTGTGTCTCTGACGGAGGTGGGGGAGCCGGAAGTATCAACTAATCCCCCACACATCCCAATTCATAATACAGTAGCAGTAATGCAATGATGAAAATATAAATGGATCTAGAAAAGTATGGTTACTCAGTACTGGGCTGGCTAAAAGTAAACCACACTGCAAACATCAAAGCAAAAAAAGAAGAGGCGAAATGCAAACAATTCATGAGTGATGCAATATAAAATGTTCTCCTTCTTTCAGTGCACGTTTTGACTGACAAACCCATGTCAAGGACTACACATGAAGAGGCAGCGGAAGACCGTATGTATTTGTTTAAGGAATTTCCATTTTGATATTACTGTTAAAAGAAAGTATCTGGAAACCCTGGCACCAAAGAAGTCTTAAAACACAGAGAAATGGGTATATATGTAGAGAATACATGGTGTACTGAAAGACAATTACCTTGGTGTTTTAAAACATTAGTGGTGAAACAGTATAACAACATTCTGAAATACTAGAAGGTGGTCTGTCTCCTTGATGTTTAAGAGCTTTGAAACACACCAAGTGTTTCTAAGTGTTCCATGACATTCCTTGAGGTGTAGGCAAAAAACATTTATAAAACACATTAAACATATCCTGATTTTTTTTTACAGTGAGCTGCTTAGAGCTTTCAGACTTGATACTATGTCACCAGTAGGACAAATGATCTGTAGCTGTGTAACTGCTGTAGATAATGCAGTCGGTGAAGTAGTTGTCTTTGTTCTCCACATATGCCATCCTTGTATGCCCAAATACTGAGGAGGAATTTGATGCAGTTATTGTTACATACAGAAACATAAGGTTTAGATGAAATGTGAACATGTAGCTAATAAATTTGGAGGCCTACCTCATGGCAAACATGACATGACAACACATCTGTTTTTCTGAAAAGTTTTCATTCTGTTTGACCATAAAATCTAGTTATTGAAGGGGAAAAAGAACATTGTGTGTCTGTAATCCATGGGAGCACAAAACAACCAAGAAACAGGCTTTTTTTAAAACGTGTACGTGCCTCATCTGCGTATAAACTCAAGCTGCTGCATCATTCAGCCAAATTATAACCTCTAACTCAATGGATTGCACCTGTAGTTCATCACCTGAATGAGTTTTAAAAGCAGAGAGTGTCATTGCAGGCTAAACGTCAGGGTCTGTGTTCACAGACCACCTCAAGAATGGGAGTGCTGATATAGAATCAGTTTTTGAAACCACGTCCATCACAAATACAAAGCATCTGACATCTGAGATCAGTCCTCTAACTCAGGACCGCTTTATGAATTTTAGCCCTGGATAGGTGGAGAAGAGGGGATATTGATCAATCTCAGTGCCCCAGTTTCACTTGTATTTGACTGAATCACCAATTAATCTCAGTGAAAGTGTCATGGGCAGAAAGACAGAAGTTTGCATTTGAAGTCTGTAAGGCCTGAACTATAACCAGGAAGTAGGCTAGGCCTGTGAGCCCATGTCCATGTTAAACTATGTGAGATAAAGCAGAGCTGGTATTCACAAACCCATCCTGAGTAAGAGGACTAACTTCAGATCACATTTTTCCATATTTTTGGTGGTCGAGCTCACATGGTTAACCTGCTTTAGGAACAGCAGATATCGCATTTGTATTCTTTCTCGCTGATGAAACCAAGGAACCAAGAGCTCCCCATTGGTTTCTGGTGCCAGCTGTTTACATACTGGGCAAGTCTTTCCCCTTATTTTACTTACCCTCCTACCTTTCCTTTTGTTTGCTTTCCCCTCTGGTCTCAACTAATCTTAATGGTTCCTTGTGAACTATGCTCACTGTAATATGATTTAGTTGTGGTGAACAGGCAATTAACCACTTTTCTTATCTGCAAGTGTGTTTTCTCACAGGTGTGATGTTTTAATGTGAATAAAGGGTTATCTAACCTTATATATCTGGTTATCTTAATTAAAATCCCTGAAAGGCCTAAGATAGGCTATGTAACAGTGTCCACCCACAAATAGTCCAAGATAGCTATGATGTAATTCCCAAGTGATCTTCAATGTGTGTATTCATCTGAAACCAGAGTATTCGACAAGGATTCAAACTGATTCAAACTTGCACAGCTAGCTTCAGTATGGATATCATTAAGCTTGCTTTGAGGCATATCCTTGAACTATATTTATCCAGTGGATGTCCACTTAAACAATGCCTTAAGTGCTGGTCCAAGGCCATGTACTGAAATCCTATTGGAATATGCTGAAATTGATATAAACCTTTGGAATCAACAGAAGTTAATAAATAAATCTGTCTTTGCTGTGATAACAGTCATTGCTTATATGGTATACTGTCAAAAGAAAAATCCCCAAGTGGGCCAGTATTTGGGGTATTGTAGTATTGTAGTAGTATTAGAACTACAGGGTAGCCTTGATTCTGTTGTGTACAATACCACCGGTGCCTCTGGTTTTGTTTTTACATTATGAGTTGCACCTTAGTTTTTGTCTCATGTTTTTTAGAATTTGTTAAACAATTAAAGTGTTGGCTGGCATTGTTTTTCAGACTGCAGATGCTGCCAGTAATTCCCCACTATTTTTGCTCAAACAGGAAGGAACAAATACATAAAAATATGGATCATCAATTATTGAAACTTTAGTGTAACTTTTACTCCGTTACTGTTAATGTTGTACAGTAATTTGTATAATTAATTTCTTTCTTGTTAGCTGCCTTCCTAAAGATTATTCATGGAGCACATTTGGAACCAACAAAGAAGTACACTCATCCCATGACGGAGTCTCAAGAAATTGGATGGATATCCACTCCACTGGTAGGGGTTTTAGGATTTTTATGCTGTGTAATCTGTGGCTAAAACTATAGAGATTTTTGAAAGAGTACAAATTTTAAAAAATTACAAAAAAATAGCACTAAACAGTGAAACGAAATAGGTGCTCTGTTATTACTTCATTATTGTATCATTGTGGTACACTGTAAAAACTTTCAGTGTAGAACTACAGTAAAATACTGGCTACTAAGTGCATTGTTTTTACTATAATTTACCATATTAACAGTAAATAACAGTAAATTAGCAACTTTATACTGTGACTTCATAGTCACCTAGATCTCAGGATTACTTTGATGTAGCTGTACACTTAAGCTGTAATTAAGATACAGTAATTTCCTGTATTTTATTAACATAATAACTGTGGATGCATCGATACTGATACTGGTATCAGGTATTGGTCTGATACCATGCTTATTTACTCTACTCATAAAAAATCCCCCGATACCAACATCCAATACCACCTGCCACCATACCAATACCAACGACTCAAGCTGGTATTAAACAAGGATCTGCTCACACAGAGAAGTGCCGTTGACACCGTGGTTTTAGTCCATTTTTAAACCCAAACAAACACAGTCACAACCACTTCACCAGTACCGGCAGAGTTGTAGGCTAGCAAAACAGAAGGCAAAAAAGTTGATATTTGTGGTACTAAAGTACAGATATGACTACTTTATTCAGTTTGACCAAACAGAATTGTGAAGTATAAACTTTAGTGCATTGATTTTTTTTAATTGTCTTTGTGTTGTCCTACCCATTTACATCATGGCCTGGTTTTAGTTTCAGTGCACAGTGTGGTGCAAGTTAGCAAAGCTGCTCAGTTCCTCAGCGTTTCTGCTCAGTACTTGGATGCACAGAGTGTTATTTTAAATGAAACAGCTTTATTGATAATTGTTCATAGATAGAACTGTCTGTCGGGGCTGCGTTCCACGTAGCATGTTATTAGACTGAGCATTTTCATATAGTATGAACATATAAATCATACGCTTTGTCTGTACAAGATGGTCTATTCAAGGTACAGTGTGAGTCCCTAAAGAAAACAAGATTTCTAAAATCGCATATGTCTATGTCTGGCTACATCTCCATAGATGTGATTTCGTCACTGTGCTACAGAGACTGCTATTGAAAGAAACGGATTAGGAAAACAGGACCAAAACTATGAAACATACTTTACTTACAGCTGTAAAGAGGCACTTTAATGACACTTTAATGACATACATTTTTAACTTTCAGCTGTTGTATCCCATAATGCTGTGCTGTAGAACTTCAACCTCACAGTAATTTGCTGTGTTACTGCAGAAAATATCTTAAGATGAGTTAATGTCACAATTAATTGATGACTACAGTTAAATGTTTTGAAATCCTGGGAATAGTTTATGTAAAAGTGCATGTGTTAAGGGTTGGTTTTAATTCATTATATTGAACAAGCAGAACTTTCTCTGACATTTTAGATTGTTTCGGATCGCGCAGACAGAAGACTGAACTTTCCACGGCAGAATTCAGAAATTACCAAATACATGGATGCTGCCTGGCGTCTGAAGGAACAAACCCAGAACCTTGGATGAAATTCACAGTTTTATCTGTAACTGCCATGATGTGTTGCTCTCAGGATTCTCCAAACACAGAAAATAGTTTGTCTTATTGTGCTTACTGTCTTATATTAAATCATAGCACCATATGATGAGCAAGAGTAGTTGTGCAGTTTTCCAGACATCATCCTTGGCTGTCTGTTATTAATCATTGTGACTGAGAAAGCATGACACGTTGGATCAATTCTACAAAATGTCATGTCATGTCGAAACATGAATCACATAGAAATATTTTGCAAATGTGGTCTTTACGAGAGAAAAATCCATAAACGTTAAGACACGCAGCTAATGAACAATTGACTTACATGTTTTATGCAGGTGCAATTCTGCTGAGTCAGAACTACATCTGGAAGTGAAAATTAGATTTTTTCCTTTGTATTCCAGTGATATATGACAGTTTATAAATAATCAGGATGTGGCAGCAAATGTTGGTTTGTTCTAGAGTGATTTACTGTACTTTGAGAGGGGTTAAATACATTAATGTGAAATTATAGTTTCACATAGCCTGTATTATGCATTTATTTTCATTTAATTTATTTCATTATTTTCTTTACTCACTTTTTTATATCATAGAAATTCAGAGAAATATTCTACATTCACTGTTGATTTTTGAGTCTGTCCTCTTTTTAAAGGGGTCCTGTAGACTTGTCACCAAATAAGTAACAGATGTATTCACATAAAACAAAAAAGTTTTGATAGCAATTTTATTTGAATTCTAAATATTTAAAGAGAAACCTTGTTTGATTCATATATGCATTACACAACAGCTGCACAATGTTAGCAATTGACAGTTTGCAATATAATGATTGATGTGTCCTTAAGTGATACTTCCTTCATCAGCAGAAAATTAGTCAGAATTAGAAATAGAGATAATGAAAGGCTGTTAGTGAATATGCTCTTCTGAGGTAAGAAAATTTGCTGACCCTCACTTTTATATGATGTTTAACAATAAATAATGTGCAGGATCAGTTAGCTATTGTTATAAGTTATATTTTCTTAATTAAGCTGTTAATCATAAACAAGACTGTTCACATAAAAACATTCTGTGCAGAGAAAAATATTACTGTATTATTTCTAAATAATAAAACATTTTCAAATAAACTCTTTTGTGTGCTTCTAAATTTTCCTGTGCTCCTGAACTTTTAGATCTGTTAGCACAAGTGCTACAGACACTACCAGGTGAACTTCAAGTTTAACAGATTACTAAGATTGACTAAGAGAGCTAGGGCTTTTATGGCAAATGGACATTTATTAAATAGTGAATAATATTATTTTTTTTATAGATTAATGTACAGCGCAACTGTATAACCTCAACTGAATAATGTCATGTTTCACCTTCTTGGGTACCTCATAATAAATGAACAAACAAACACTCCACTGAAACAGAACAAGCTTTAACATTATTTTTTCATATCAGTCACCACACAGAAACATTGTGAAGGCAATCACAAAGTCAAGCCTTGGTTTAGTTTCAGGTGAGTGTAAAACTGTATTATTCTTAGTCATTCACATCTACCTTTTAGCAATAAGGCTACTTTCAGACGGCGGAGTGTATCCTGCTCAAAAACGTTCAACTTACGTGGATGAGTTCTGTTCAATGTTGTGTCATTTTTGACAGGATAACAAATCAAAAAAGGGCAGGTGAAACTGAATCAGAGAGCACACACAGAGCTGTTCAGTATGACATGGTTTCCAGCTCGAAGATGAATGTTAAATTGCTGACTGTTAAGCTGGCAGATTTTCAACTTGATCCGTGGCGGAAAAAATGTGACCTGTGGCGGAACGAGCGGAACCCACAGAATCCGCGTCCTGCTGTAGGACATGATGTCTTTTTTTTTTTTTTTGCCGGATACTCTCCACTGTCTCAACGCAGCCTTAAGCCAGCCAGGAAAGAGAAAATACCTGAATTGATCTTTTAAATCCAATCAAATGTGATGTATTTGGCAAGGAAATGTGTTTCTCAGCCGAGTCAGAAAACTCAATAAGGTCTTAAAGATTTCAATTTGGAGCTGCAAGGTGCTAAGCAGAGTGCTAAAAAAACTTTTCCAGAGCTTTTCTTTTTGTGCACCTCTAGATACTGACAATTGGGCCTGGGTTTGTCATGAACTACGCTGATCAGTGTTGGTGGTGCAGTGCCACTACACCCTTGGCCTGCGCAGAACAGTAGCCAACAACGTCTGCTGCTTTAATGAGCATTATCTATCCATCTGGAACTGACTGTGTGCTAGAGTGAACACCAGAAATGGCAGTAGTTTATTCCAGATACAGCCTAGTTCCTCAACAGACCAGTTATAGTTCTTACTCACATTGCATTCTCCTCTCCACTGGTGTAGAAAGATAGCAAGGCATGTACTCACTTGCTATGAGCTCAAATCTCCACTTCTTGGCTGCCTCTGAGTGTGGAGAGAAAGCCATTATCACCATTAACAATGTTTACAGTGCCAAAAGAAGGTCCTGAATGGAGGAGATGGGAAGAAATCTCTGTGGCTTTCCTTTCATTGGGCAGCCAGGAGCACCAGACTACACCCTGTGCTACTGGATGTGGGAGAATCAGGGATTGATGGCCATGGAAAGACAGGCTGTATGGAGAACCCAAAGACTGGCCATGCTGGATCGAATTAGCAAATGTTGGTGAAAGGGTAAGTTTTACTTTCTGGGTATGTAGAGTAGCAACATGAACATAAAAATGGAATTACAAGGTTTTCATACACTGAAAAAAGTAAAGGTGTACCCTTATCATTCATATTTCCCAGGTATAATATGGCTTTTAAATGTGTACATAGTTTCCATTATAACCCATTTTACATACATAATTATTGCAAAAATAAGTGAACTGAAAGACTAAACTGTATGGATGTGATCTGTTTGATTCATGTGAAAATGATGTATACCTTTCAATCAAGTCAATTCTATGCATCCCTTTAGGGTTTTGTGAAAGATGAGGTTATGCTTTATGTATATCCCATATTATACATGGCAATTATGAATACTAAGGCTACTACTTTAACATTTATTTAGTTTATTCCTGCAGTTGAGCTTTAACCCTGGGAGCAACACTGTAGTGAGGGTTTTTTAAAGTAGTCCACATTGCAGAAACTGGACTCCTATGACATCCTGTCTCATGTGTGGCTAACACAAGAGTGTCTTATTGCTGGTACAGATGCTGAACGACTGCTTGTAGAACAGTCAGATGACCTACGCTTGGACATTAGTGCAACTTCCAAGGCCGGTATGCAGCACAGACATCGCAAGACATACACTGAGCTATTACAGACTGAAAAGCTGCTGTTTGTGTCATTTGAATTTTGATGGCAACATTCTTTCTTGTATTTGAGTGAAATGTTGATGAAGCATCACTGTTGTTGGTGTTCACTCAGTGTGGCAGAGGTAGATGAGAAAGAAAATCTGCCTCATTTGCCGCAGGTTATGGCTGTTGCACCTCACTCCAGGCTTCGACTGTTCTGCAGGCCCTGGGATTGTGTTTGTTTGAGAAAATCAAAGGTAAAGACTACTACAGGAAAACTAGAGAGATGCGAGCAAGTTCTTTTTAGGCATTGTTAAATAGACCATGCAGTACATCAGTATGTGCATATAACTTTTAATTGAAAAACAACAAAACAAAACAATGTCTTATGATTCTTGAAACTGAAAAGACAAAGGAGAAGAAAAAAACTTTCTTAACTTTAAATGGAAGTTAATAGAACTAGATTTTTTCTTCAAATAAATAAAAACATTGAATTTTAGCATGTTGTAAAAGCACGTTTTAGCATGTATTGCTACTTATATTTAATACGTATGGACGTATTAATACATATACATACACTCTTAAAAAAGATGGTTCTTCAAGGGTTCCTTAATAAAGACAGTGGTTCTGTGTAGATCTATGAACAAGCAAAGAACCATTTGCGTGATTAAAGGGTTCTTTGCATCTTTAAAAGGTTCTTCAGGTTAATGGAAAATGTGCTGTGGATAGTTCTATTTAGAACCTTTTTGAAAATGGTTCTGTATAGTACCAAAAAGGGTTCTGCTGTGGTTACGATGTCAAGCTTGTAATTTCTAAAAGGTTCTATATAGAACCATATAAAACACATTCTCCATCAATCTGATGAACCATTTAATGATGCAAAGAATCCTTTGATCATGCAAAGGGTTCTTTGAGTGTTAATGGTTCTATATATTATACCATTTTTTAAGTGTGTATTGTTACTAATGTGTATACATATTGCGTTGCTGCCATCAAGTTCTAAATGTTTTTCACGAAATGGTAAAATGTGTCACTTTCAGCATCTGATATGTGTTCTATGTTCTATTGTATATTCTAAAATATGGGTCTACAAATCTATGAGATTTACAAATCATTACATTCTTTTTTTATTTACATTTGACACAGCATCCCAACTTTTTGGAATTGGGTCTATATATATGTATGTATGTATGTGTGTGTGTGTGTGTGTGTGTGTGTGTGTGTGTGTGTATAGAGAGAGAGAGACAGAGAGAGAGACAGAGAGCATGTCTACATTATCCCATACTCATCTCAAACTATGCTAAGTAATATCAAATAGTTTTCCTTGTGTGGTTTCTGACACAGTAAGACACACTGTTATCTATATAAATGGACAAAAGTCACATAACTAACACAGTAGTAGCAGCCATGTTTGCCCATATTTTTGTCCATTTGTGCAACAATACGTCATATAGTGTCAGAAACTAAAAGTCTGTTTGAAATAACTTACAAACTTCGTGTAGTTTGGAACGTATGTGATGATTTAGCCATGGAATTTACACAGTGTTAGCTAGCTATAAGCTCCCATTACTTGCTAGCTACATTAGCTTTGTAGCTCAAATGCAAAACTGAAAAAGCACACATCTTGGCTAATTTAGGTAATAGGAAAATTATGTTAATCAAATTTTTGTCTGTACTTTTACCTTAACCTTGAACAACTGCAGGACAGTAACAAACTTATGTTTGTTTTGTGTTTTTTTCAGGGTGATGGACCCATTTTGAGTACCTCTTCCAGTCCTTTCTTTCTGGGGTCATCACTGGTCTGTCTATTTGTAGCCACAAACCCATCACTGACACCTGCTCTCTTGACCAGCCTGTATGCATCTGCAACTTTGAGTCCAAGTAAAGATTTTTTAATGATAATATTGATCTATTGCCATGCTAGACTGAAACACGATCCCATTAAATAATCATTATAATTAATGCAATGAAAGAACAGGCTGAAGGCAGAAGGCAGACAGATGTTAAGCAGATGATTGTAGAGGTCCAGTGAAATAAAGACACAGCAATTACAATAGAGACAGGAAATAGCTTGTATTTAGAATGTACAGCAATCGATGTATGCGCTGTTGTACTAAGTGAACTATGAACTATGAACTACTGTCTAACTGAAAACATTTTCCTTGTCTGTGCAAAAATTCTTGAACAAAAAAAAGTCTGATTATGGTTTCTTTTTGCAAATCTATGCACTGGAGCTGTATAAGAAGTTTCGGTAGGATGCCTACAGCATTGCTCTCTAGCCCTCAGGCCTGTTTCTGCTGGTGAGATTCTCTGATAATCTGCAGGTCATGAGTCTGCTCATCGATGACATTAGATCCTTTAAGGAGTTCACTGTGCGCAGCTGCAGAGAGGTGGGTCCAGGAGTGTAGTCAATCAATGTGAACCAATGAACATTTTAACTGACTCATTTTGACTGGATTTCAAGTCATACGTTATTGTCATTCTATATATAGAATATAGTTCCTCCTGTACTATTGTGCTGCATTTATTGCGAAACTGGCACAATAAATTGGTACAATAAATATACATAATAAACAATCAATACAACATACAACAGTAATCATAGGTCAGTAAGATGGAGCAAATTCACAGGCTTTAGCAGAAATAATCTGACTGTTTAGATGCATCTTTCAGTGGTGTAAACTATGTAAACCTAACAGCAGATAACGTTGTAATGTATACAGACAATGTGAACCACAGAATGTGTATATGGGACAAAATGT